CCCCCACCGAAAAGAAAAAACAACACGGCTAGCGCTTACAACAGAAGGCTGCTGATTAATCAGGCAGGCATTCTGTAACTATTAGCAACCAAATCGTTAATGGTTCTGATCAGAGATCTCAAACTACAAAAAAAAACAGCGCTTCAACAAAATCCGGACCTAGTCCACAGGAGATTCACCATGTCGCCGTGTGTATTGTAATACTGTACGGACAAGCAAGGCAATCTCAATCACGGCCAGACACCTTAGGGCTCAGACCAAACTACAACCATGCACAATCAAAGGAAGCCCATAACTAAATGGGGCGTGCCTACAATGTACAAATTAACTATATCTTCTTAATTCTTATCTTTTTTTTTTACTTTTTTCCAGAGGAGTCTAAATTTTCATTTAATTAATTTAACCCTCCAAGTGTCCATAGTTTAGGCCTTAATGTCCACCTATTTTTGGCGCATTTGCAAGGTTTTATTAAAATGGATCTGAGAAGCTTAAAACAATGTTAATTCTAATGTTCTATATACCATTTTGTTTGGAAAATCATGGGCTTCAATATTATATATAAAACATAAGGAACATTTAAAAAAAAAAAAATTTTTAGGTAAAAAAAAATATAATTTCGAAAATTTTCAAAAAAAAATAAGTTTGCGCTCAATGAAATTGTATAAATTATAGGCCTATAAATATTTGAAAATAGCCACTTTGTTCTAAATTTTATGAGGATTACAAATATATAATAATATAAGGAAGTAGATTTGCAAATAAATAAGTTATGGGCAAAAAACTGATTTCAGTACATAGCGTTTAGCTAAGAATGCATAGCCTAACCATAGCTAGGAATCTGGCTGATAATTTACATCAATATCACTACCTACTTCTTCAGGATCATCAACCAGCACTTCAAAACCACTTAAATCTTCTTATAATGCACCACGTATATCACTACTTTTGATTTTTAACACTAAAACAATGATAAACGTAATAAAACACATCAGTCATCGGTCCGGGGGAACCTAGCTGTTTACAAATACACGCACGTCAGCTGTCTGTTACAATATTTTCGGAACTAAAATGAATAGCGCTTAGAGACAGACCTCTGGAGAAAGCTTAGAATATTACGGAAAGAACGATACCTAACTCGATCCGATTCAGTCAGTCATAGAGCCTTCGCCGTAAACGATGTCTGCGTGTCGAAAAATCGACAAGTAACACCACACAAAGTGTGCTGCTTGTCGAATTTTCGTCAAGTAACACTGGGAGGGTTAATAACAAAAAATAAAAAAATAAAAGAATTTAAAAACAAGGCTAAAGCGAGTATACTTTACCCCAACTTAGCTCAGGGCCAATAATTTGTAATCACTTACTATTATTATACTTATACAACTACTCAAACCAATTCCACCCGCAGGGACAATGTTGAACTACTGCTTCAACAGCTGGTCCACCGCAAGGAGACTCCATGTGCCTCGATCAACGGAGACAGCAAGAGACTGGCTCACACTCCTATACAAAACTGTAGGCTGTACAACAAACAAAAAAAGGGTTATCCTATGCACATCAATATATTGGTAGGCTACTAATTCACCTCCAGCATTGAATTTTTATAAAAAAACATTTTCCTCCTACTATCATCAGCATTGCTTGATTTATTTTCCCTTAACAAGAAACAATGACAACGGTATTTGTATTCTTCTAACTATACACCACAGAATCCTCTGGCGAGGGGTTAGCCACGGCTTAATCACAAATGTTACCGTACCGGATTTATTTAGGTTAAGGTCCTGTCCAAAGCAGGAGCAAAAGAAGATACACTCCAAATCTTCCCCCATACCGAACACACATTGTGAGAAAATTGTGACATTTCCCTCGGCTCATTAGAAACTCAACATATCGGAAACTAATGTTTCTTCTGTAGATAAAAGCAATTCATCTCAAAAACAATTTATTATTATTTTTTTTTTTTACAAATACGGAATGAATTACAAATTTATATTTTCAGCTCGTGAGTCAAAACTATCAAATTAATAGTTTACCTCTGTAACATCACATATGAGTTTTGAACTGACTTCAATCATTCAATAGTGCTAGCTGATGATAGCAGCTAAACAACAGTTCTTCAAATTTCGGTTTTTATTTATAAATCCGATAACCAATTTCTAATTATTCCAATGTAAATAAATAAAGATCAATACATTATTTCAGTATGAAAAAAAAAGGAATGGCAACTAAACACAAACATCTCTAATTACTCAGTATACTCACTCAGACTTGGACCAAGCGTTTAACGAATGGTAAAAACCTCTTGCAATGCTTAAAAAAAACTCAAAAATTAATCCCTCTCCTGGATACCTACACAAAAAAAACATTTAAACTCCTCTTTTTAGTCCTTCCACATTGCACACCTACTTTGTGTACACACCGACGTCTCATCAGAGGGTCTGCGAACCCCTAACAGTTCCAACAGAGCACCTGCTGAATCACGTAAGATCTTAACAAATCGCGGCTAGGTTTGTTGGCCCACGCCGCGGCCTTTACACGCTAACCCAAGTTTCTAGCAAAACCCCAAGGGTTGCTTCAATTTTTTTTACGTTTTTCGTTTTTACTTTTTTTTTTACTTGTTACTCATTGGTTGTCCACTTTACATAATATACACAAATTTTAGAGACCAAATCACATTACGAATCATACAAACTCAAATTATTTCTCGCTGCGTTCCACAAAACTTGTTAAGTCTGGTTAAAGAAAAGTTGGAATTTATTCAGCTACCGTACCTAAAATATCACAATAAACCATCTTCTAGATATCCTTACTTTAAAAGTAATTTATTTATAAACGTGCACAGTCATCACGGAATAAAACAAATTTTTTCCTACTTAGGCCTACTTCATTTTCCATACCCGAGTGAAATGGCAAGGCATCAATACAGAGGCAAGCAACATCCCGGATGGCTTTGAGGTGAGAAGGCAAGTCTTTAGAGAACAAAATTATGTCAAAAGAGACAAGGCATTTCCCAACCTTCAAGCCCGTCAGTAGGCCAGTAATGCTGACATCATTTAAACTAATAATTTTTTAATCAATAATTCCCATGGACTACACTGCTAATCATTCAAAGACAACAGTAATTATATTCTGTTTCATAATTCTATTTATTGACCACTTCAAAGGACATTTAACAGTCACTGGCGTTTACTGAACGACCCAATGAGCTGTCCCGAATAACAAAATATGTTACCTTAAACAGTTTAAAATGAACAAGCTAACCACATAGAATCTGAACATGTCCTGCCACAGTAGGCTAGGCCTACATGACGGCCATCATTGGAACGCAGCTAAAATAAATTTAGTTTTACGAGTAACCATACACTTCAAAAGTTCTTAAGTAAGCTTCAAAATTACATATTCCACGATAATTAGTTAAAATGTTCCCTACTTTCCTTTAACTTACTCTTACCTTAGGCCAAGGCTATATTCCAACATTAATTTATTATAATTTTAGCTGTACCGGTAGGCATTAATCAAAATAATTTAAGTTCACGGTCGGTCATTATAATAGAAAACAATTCCTTAAGTCAAAATTATTGCCTCAGCTTCTCTGAACACTTAATTGAAATATTCATAGCCTAACTTTATACGAGTTACCAAAACTTAACTTAGTTTATCTCCAATTAATTTTTCCAATTAAATCTAATTATTCCGCCTTCCCCCAATAAGTTAAACTTCACCAAGGCACGGCCTACACTTTATAGGAATATGCTACTTAGGTTAAACCATAAAAAAAAAAGATAGCCTAGTCAACTGTTAACTTAAGCTCAGACAGTAATCACAGGAACAATGTTAGGCCTATCCTAAGCCAACAACTTCAATTATTTCATTCTTGGATTACACAAAAATTTAACTATTTAAGAAAAACTTTAGCCTCGGTAAGCTTCCCAATTAAATATTTTTGAAAACCAAATAAAAATATTTAAGCCAGCTAGTTACTTTATAAACTCACCTGACCTTTTACGCACATCTAACCTTAGTCTTCACAACAGAGCAGACGCCAGAAGCTGAAGTCGAAGTCTCTGAAGTTCGAAGTTTTAAACTGCAGACGACGACGACTCATTGCAGACGCAGTGGGAGCGAAACGAATTAAAACACGTAAAACGACGGGAGCAGAACTGAAACGGACTGAGCGAGTCGCGACAGGGAATTACAACGAAATTATGATTTCTGACTAAGTAATTGATTACGCGATACTAATTAAATAGCCAATCAATTTAGGACTCTTGAACCTAACCCCACACCTGACACCAAATGTGACTGGTAGCCGAATGAAACAACGAAAATGCACTACGAATAATAATTTATTTACTTAATTTATGATAAAAACAATAGTGAAGTGTTTAGCTTCCGACTTGCTGTATAATCCTATAAATTTAGTGTACAACACAAATAAGTTATTGGGGGACATAGCCTCCCGAGGAGGCTATGGGGAAAGGCGACGCGACGCGGAATTTACATGACCGATTGAATTGGATTTAGAATTTAGACTAACTGAACTGAGTGCGCTCTGCCCGTAGCCCAGAGTTGGGCGTGGAGGGGAACCAGCCAATCGCGTTGCGGCTATGCCGCGTGACGTCAGTGCAAGCCCCAGACAGTGCTGCTGCCTAACGATTCATCAGGGCATTAGGCAAACTATAGCTGCACATTAACTGATTTCATCGAGTGACTTGCTGAGCTGTATCAGCAAATTCCAGCCATGCGCGTTACACTTTCCGAGAACGTTGGCCCGACCCAGCGCTGAGCCATGCTGACGGAATATTCCATGGTGAGGCAACTGGTTGACGCAAAAAGCTGGGAGGTTAACAGTCCAATATTACATACCCTCTTTTTATATTTGAAATAAAGCAAAGCTTCTGTGACGGTAAAGACAGGGTTTCCTGAGGGTGTAACCAAAACCTCCCCAACTGATATGTAATGGGTCTGGGAATTTTTGGGACCGTCACAGCCACAAGTACGACTCATTCTTCATTGTGGCCCGTAAGGTAGTTAGGGAATTCTTCACCCAAACAATCCCAATCCGAGTCGTCACTGAGGAAGTACGACTCAAATTCCGCAACGACAGCCCTCAACGTGCGAAGACTGCTCGAATCTGACTCCCCATCACTGTTCTCAGTATCTTCGTCTCGATACTCAAATTCCGCAACGACAGCCCTCAACGTACGTAGACTGCTCGAATCTGACTCCCCATCACTGTTCTCAGTATCTTCGTCTCGATACTCAAATTCCGCAACGACAGCCCTCAACGTACGTAGACTGCTCGAATCTGACTCCCCATCACTGTTCTCAGTATCTTCGTCTCGATACTCAAATTCCGCAACGACAGCCCTCAACGTACGTAGACTGCTCGAATCTGACTCCCCATCACTGTTCTCAGTATCTTCGTCTCGATCATCCCCAGCTTCGCTCCTTACCTTGGCACTCTCATCACTGCCATCCTGCCCCTGAACCATCAGGTCTAATGAAGTGTTTGGATCTCCATTCCCTCCACTTCTGGCAAGACTGTTCGGCACCTCGTCGTCTGCCTCATCCTCTGTGCCGTCAGGGGAATTTCCTTCCTCCATTTCCTGCCTATATATGTCAGTTTCTACTATTTTACTAAACATCTTGCTTTATAAGTAATATAAGATTCAAATTTTATACCTATGCCCTTTAACCTTAACCTAACAGTAATACGCTCTCAGTATCTTCGTCTCGATCATCCCCAGCTTCGCTCCTTACCTCGGCACTCTCATCACTGCCATCCTGCCCCTGAACCATCAGGTCTAATGAAGTGTTTGGATCTCCATGCCCTCCACTTCTGGCAAGACTGTTCGGCACCTCGTCGTCTGCCTCATCCTCTGTGCCGTCAGGGGAATTTCCTTCCTCCATTTCCTGCCTATATATGTCAGTTTATACTATTTTACTAAACATCTTGCTTTATAAGTAATATAAGATTCAAATTTTATACCTATGCCCTTTAACCTTAACCTAACAGTAATACGCTTTGCTTACACGAGACAAACACACAATCATTATTTTTACAGAAAGAATTTCCTACAACTCTTATCATTATTTCATTTCTTGATTTGTTCAAGACACAATGCATATATATGTGTATATCTAAACAAATCCTGTTAGAAATTTGTAGGGAGATAGATAACTATAAAATCTCTCTTACCCTATAACAACACTGTAAAATGGTTAACTTATCATTTCAACATTATCAAGAGATATTAAAATTAAGCCATTTGAGATTCAGTGGATTCATTAATTAAGTGATACAAATAATTCAAGCTCACCAAAGTTCGTAGTGAGCACGGCAAAGGCAACCAGGATGGTGACGATGATGCCAAAACGCCCCATGTTCATTGGACCCCTGCCTCGTCTCGCTGTTGGTAGAGTTGGTAGACTTCAACTACGCTGTAGCGACGAACATCTTCTATCTTCAAGCTTCCATCTTCTATCTTCAAGCGTCCTTCTTCTCTCTTCTATCTTCTAACGAGCGGGTCGGCACAGATAAAAAATCAGTCTCTAGAGACGATAATGTCCGAACTATCCCGACGCTGCCGCCAATTGTTCCGGTCGCGAGTAAAGTCCAAGGGTCTTCAGGAGGTATCGCTGCGACCACTACTCTAATTAAGGAAGAGTAGGCCCTAATGACACATAACGGAGATAAAATGAGATGACAAAATAATTACTCGGGATGATGGAAATAAAATAATAGTTTTGATGCTGAAAACTTGAATTTAAGGTTTTTTTGAATATTATAGAACAATGTGCGTGTATATATAGACTTTGAGAAATGATGTGAACAGTATGATGGGTGAAGCGCGATTAATACCTAGATGGCAAAGACATATATCAACAATGACATATGTCAAATGACAACAGCCGGGCAGTGACATATGTAGCGCCCCCGGTTTGCGCGCTTGAAAATAACGCGAACTCTGGAAGGTTGCTTAGACATTAGACATTAGACATTATTTATTTGCACATAACATTCTTTTAGATGTGATAACATATAGAACAGGTGCATTGTCAAAATTGAGCCTAGACTAGAAAAATACAAAGTACAAAGTAACAGGAAAAGATACCTAGCCAAATAATGTTAATACAGTACAGTAGTTAAGAAAATTAAAAACAAAAAATTAACTCAACGGATGGTTATAAAATTCTTCTATTTTATAAAACGCACGTTCAAGGAGTCCATTTTTCAATGTTTCTTGAAACTTGTTTGAACTCATTATTTTATAATATACCGGTAGTTTATTATACATTTTTAAACCTGCATACAAAGGACTTTTTTCAAATAAGGTCAAACGGTGATTTGGTAATCTGAAAATTGTTTCGTTTCTTGTACTATAGTTGTGTGTGAATTTGAATGAATCTGGGAGGTTATTTTTTATATTGTGTATGTAGTTTAATAATTCAAATATGTATAGTCCTGTGAGTGTTTGGATTTTTAAATTTTGAAAATGTAATTTACAAGAACTTCTGGGGTGGGAATTAGTCATAATTCGGATGATTCTTTTCTGAAACTTATGAACAAGCGTAACCACCGTGACGTCCTCAGTTCGTGGAACAAGTTATAATCGGCCAAAACATCGTAATCGTGTAAATGCAAAGAAAAATGGTAACCCTCAACGCTCCTATCCATGCGGGAATATGTGTGCTTCATTTGTCCAAAGTGCAAATGTACTATTTCTACTATGACGTACTTTGTTACCACTTTACAGACAAAGAGTTACGGCTGCAGTACACGGACACAGATAGTTATCTGCTGTACTTGACCACCGAACTTGATCTTTTAATGCTGCATCATCATAGGTGATGACGCAATTCAACTCCTTATCAGGGGACTTGTGTTTCAGGTGTTCAAAGAAAAATTTAAAAGTTTCACCGTCAGAATGACTAGTAATGAGAGGAGCTACTGGCCAGCCTGAATTATTACTGTCTCTAACAAGACATGTCAACCGACGATGCCCATATTGGTTTATAAAGTGTTTTTCATCAATAATAAGTATTGAATTTTCCGTCCCCCCTAAAATTCTATCTGAGCTTTAGTCTGAAAACCTAGCATAAACAATTTATCAGCATGAGGCAAACAATTTATTCCTTTGGTCCATCAACACAATTCTGCCCTAAAGGTTTGTAAATCAATATCATATTTGGTTCTTCCGCTTTCATGGCCTCTGCCATAAAAAGGACAGATGTTGCATCATCTTCATGATATGGATTAGCAATTCTTTTCTTGATAGCTCTCAGTCTTAAAGTTTTTCTTGTTGGTAATTGCGCTTTGGTTAATTTGCTATGGTTAATTTACTATTAGGCCTACTGGTATCATCACTTCCTTTTTTTGTCATTGGTGTCTTCAAGGCCTGAACAAATTTGGTGGGTGATACATTTAATGCTATTTGTTGGTCGACATACTTATATAAGCTCTTGGACTGCGGTCAAAATTTCCAATCTGTAATTGATAAGGCATGATAATAATAATGTAATAATAAATTTGATTTTTAAATAGTTATTTGATTCCATTTAAAACACATATTTCAATCTCAATAAACTTTACCTGGCTGATTCGTCTGCGAAAATCTCAGACACTGGACCACCCCTGTCTTCCCTCGCCCTGGTCTTTAATCGCTCAATAAACTGTAGCCTATCTTCTTGTTGGTGATCAGGACGGTGGTTGTGGAGATGACTGTTTATTGTAGGGAGTATGAGGGCATTGTCTTTTAAGGACATTAATGCCCTTGCCATACACCCACTTTTTCTTTCGTTAGCACAATTTAACAGTCTACAAACATTTTTGCTTTCCGCCTCCCCAATATGTCTTCCCTCGCCCTGGTCTTTAATCGTTCAATAAACTGTAGCCTATCTTCTTGTTGGTGATCAGGACGGTGGTTGTGGAGAGGACTGTTTATTGTAGGGAGTATGAGGACATTGTCTACTAAGGACATTGACATTGACATTGCCATACACCAACTTTTCCTTTCGTTGGCACACTTTAACAGTCTACAAAAACCAAAAATAATCTATTATAAAAATGAAAAGTTTTTAATTGCGGGTTTTTTACAGCGAAAAAAGTGTTTGGAATACAATATTGTTTTAAATGTGATATAATCTTTAGTTTTTGTACAATCTATTATTAATGCAGAAGCTATATGACTACTACAGTAGTAAATGACTGAAAGGTATAATGGTAATGTCTAAATGTGATTTCTCTTACCTCCGATTGTGTGACACTTTGTCTGTGTGATAAAAACATCCGTCACCATCTGTATTGAACTGCCAGGTTTAATACCAGGTAGTGCCCGAGAGGGCCTTGGTATAATTTGGTCAGCTGGTCCAGCCTGTTGGTGGAGATTGTGAAAGTGATGGTCTGGCACTGGAGGTTCATGAACATGTGGAAACAGGGGTTGTGGATTTACATTATTTTCGTTATTTACTGGTAGTTGGAGTTCCGCATTGATTGGAATTGGGAGCTCATGGTAGTCGGGATATGGGTGGTGAGGATAGCCGGCCATTGGATCAGGATCATTCCCAGGATTGATGGGTAGTTGGAGTTCCGGATCGATTGGTATAAAGGGCTCATGGTAGTCAGGGTTCCGAAGCTACTAGGCAAAAAGTATAGCTTACTAATGGACAATTGATAATTCATAATCGTTTACATTTAAATCAGATTTGAATATTAAAACAGGTCACACATAATATGTAAAACTAATTTTGTTGTGCATCGCCCCTGAGTACTAAACGATAAGCTACTCTACTCTAAAACAAGGCAAAATAAGATATTTATCGACTTTGACTATAAATCGAGGAGTACCCAAAAGCGATGGCCCAAAATGTTAACCCTTTTGTATCCAAAACCTGTTAACAAAAACACATGCTTACTCTTTTTTTCATTTTCATGCGTCTCTCGACACCACTGGGTCTTCGTTGGTTGGCGTTTGACTGTCACGTCCAGCCTTTTACTGGTGGTTAATTTCACTACCGCCCAATAGCCTCCAACGCCTAGGATGGTCCTTACCGTCGTAAGCCTGAACGGGCGGACAAGTCTTTCGACTGTCTTTTCTCTGATTTCTGAAAGTAAAATTGTTTTTGTTAATAACTATCAACATACACGAACTAATTGTATATAAAAAATACTAATTTGCTATTAGGCCTACTGGTATCATCACTTTCTTTTTTGTCATTGGTGTCTTCAAGGCCTGAACAATTTTGGTGGGTGATACATTTAATGCTATTTGTTGGTCGACATACTTATATACGCTCTTGGACTGTGGTTGAAATTTTCAATCTGTAATTGATAAGGGATGATAATAATACCATAGTTGGGAAAGTTAGTCAAAAATTCTAACTAGTTAGAAGTTATAAGTTAGTCCCGTAAAAAGTAACTGATAGAAGTTATAAGTTAGTTAGTTTAAAAAGTAACTGATAGAAGTTATTAGTTAGTTGAAAAACTAACTGATAGAAAATAAAGTTAGTTTTAGTATAAATTAGTTGTTCGTTGGGCAGTTGTTTTAAAGTATTTTTTAATGTCACATCTTGGTTACTAATATATACTATGAGTAAAGATTGT